GAGGGTTTTAAGACTTCAAGTACAGAAAAAATCTAAGTGGAGAACATGACACCAGATAAGTTTCACTTCAGCAGTTGTTCATATTACTTTTCTCCCTCCCTTCAGTCCTCCTCATTACTTTTATGTCCCCCATTTTTTGGGGGGTGTCGAGCATATGTCTTTTTCTACACTATAGAATATTCTACAACATCTGATTTTAGCGCTTGCATGTTGCACGGAATAGGGTAAAACCATAGAGGGTGAAACTTAGGAAAGGGGCTGGTGTAGGGTAAACAGTTCTAAAATAACCCCCCCAAAAAAACAACCAAAAAACAAGAAAGAAAAAACAACCACATTTTGGAGAAAACGGTTGCGTTTTTTAAAAAGAAATAGTATTGAAAACAGAGAAGTTCTGTTCCTACATGTCTTGTCCCGTTGGTGATTATCGGTTGTCCTTTGCTCGTTGTTAACCAGTTCGATTTGCCCTTGACCTGATTGTCTCAACCGCCGCACACGTTTTGTTTACGTCATGAATAAGGTATAAAAACTCAACAGTATGTCTCTATATTCGTCTTTTGATAGAATGGCGTTTTAAAAAATTCACACTGGAAAATATTGCTAAAAATCCCCACCATAAATAAACAAAAAATTATTATTGGAATCGTTACTTGGTGTTTATCAAAAGCTTCAGACTCAGGTGAAAGAAAAAAAAACGTCATTATCCCAGAAAGCGAGTTTTTTAAATTTAAATTTCATCATTTTTTGTTGTTATTTTGTTCTGTGCAGCGACAGATACATACGCCACAATGCGTCTTGTGCTTTTATCAAACACTCGCCACAGAACCAGCCTTAGGGAATATCAGTATGCAACTCCTTCAACAATCGCAAATTGAGAACGATTTAATTCCTTTGTAGTGGTCGATTCTTCTGAATATTTGGCCTAAACTTGCCCTGTGTAAATGTCTGTGTAAATTTCAGTCCATGGTATGCACATATCCATAATATTTGTATACCAGGTTCACTTGATTGCCTGGTGGAACGACTCTTGTTTTAGGAGGGAGACAGATCGATGCCCCAGAATTACACCGTTCTGTCTGCTCAATACCAAGTTGTGAGAAATTTAACGTTTCACAACATATATAATATATAAATATATATATGAAGCTCTTTTCAATGCAATTCTTTGGTATTTTTATATAACGAATGCGAATAATCTCACGATCTTGATAGATCAGATAGAACACAATTAGATTTCTGACCCCAGGGACTTAGTAACTCAAATCGGTCAAAAATTTCAGATAATATTTTTTCATTCTAAGGTACCGAGATACCTTGGAACATGAATAAAGAGAAGGATTAATGGGTTTGAATATGTACAGAATTAACAAAGTGCAAAGAGAAAGACCCCCTCCCCCCCCAGAGAGATTGCAGTAACATGGTTCGGTTATGAAAGGATACAGAAAGTATGATACGTGGTAGTTTTTGTTGAGAGATAGTGTGGCGTGATAAAAAAAATACACAGAGAAAACGTGGATTGGTATTTGTTTAACGTAATATTTGGCTGTACGAGTTCTTGCCCATAGTAATGGACACAGAATAGAAAGAGAAAATGAGAGAGATAGAAAGAAAGAAAGAGAGAGAGAGAGAGAGAGAGAGAGAGAGA